GCCCGTCGTCCAGAGCAATCCAGGCTCCCGGCCGAACTGCGCATGCGCACACCTGCGCAGTTCGGCTGCCTCGCTCCCCTTTCAGTGGCTTCCCCCCGGTATCTGATCATGCCGGGGAGGAAGTGTGCAGCAGCTCAGGGGATCTATGTGATCCCGCCGCCGTGTGTCTCTTTTGGTGCGGCTTTAAAAAGCCGCACTTTGCCCGTGCTCCCCCCCCCCCCCCCCGTGTGGCAGGGGCCTAGGATTGCCAACTTTCAGATGGGGCCTGGAGTTCTCCCAGAACTCCAGCTGATCTCCGTACTATACAGATCAGTTCCCCTGGAGAAAAATGGCACCTTTAGGGTGAACTTTATGGCATCTCATCTCTGTTGACCCCCTTCCCTTCAGCAGGCTCTGCCCTCCTCAGGCTCTGCCCCCAGATCTCCAGGAATTTGTCAGCTTGGAATTCAACCCTAATAAGCACACTGGTCTAAGTTGCAAAAATTAGACCTCTTACAAAAAGATCCCAGCTTTGTTTTAAAAAATGGACTACTTCTCTATTTGAGCTTGTTAATGTGAAGTACAAGTTTACAGCCATGTTTTGTGTGCATTAAATAAGACAGTTCTATGGGTACGAACTTCATTTATGTACCGTTTTGATTGATGTATATTTAGTTGATTTTCCCTATTGATTGTATGTTATTGTTGTCAATATTCTACAACAACACTCTTATGACTGGTAGCAGTATATAGGTTGAAGTTGTGACATGTAGCACAACAATGCAGCAACGGAGGCTCTTCTTTATACAATCTTTTGGGGCAATTTTTCCATATCCCACTGAAATGCAAGTTTAATTCTGTGACATGAGCACAAAGTTGACAGTATAGTGAAGTGCAAAAATCTATGCCTCTCCTACAAGAGTTCACTAGCTCCTTTTATTTAGCTCACTGTGAGACTGTATCAATGCAACAATTCCCTGGTTTATTAGACACTTAAATGGGAAGAGATCCTGCTAGTTCCCATTAGATGATCCCCCCAATCCCTACAAGAGGCAATAACAACTCCTGCCCTTAAGTTGAAATGCTTTTCAGTTGCAATAACTCAGTCTTGCCCAAACCTTTCCTGCGCTCCATCCTGAACAAAATCTCTCTCCTTTCCTAAGATTACCACTCAAGCAGATGGACCTACTACAATCCATCCTTTTAATAAAACTGATAATACAGCACAGTAGAATGAGAGAACTGAGTGGCTTTGGGTAGCTGGTTACAGGTGTTACTTTGAGATATGCCAGTGCATTATAAGAGTCAAGGAATGGTTAATGATGATAATCTAATCCTGGCTAAGTGCCCTGGCCTCTAAGGATATAGCAGAAGGGGTTAAATACAGCAATATCCTGAAATCATTTATATTTCACATGAAAAGAATGTTGCAACATCTGATAGAAAATATACAGAAGGAGAAGTTATTTGTTCCATGTTATCAGAAATATTCCTATTATATATTTTGAAAGCTGTTCACTTTTCTTATCTGGTGCTGCACCACACAATCTCCCTTGATTTTTTTTAAAAAGGCAAAACACAGGTTGAGTTTTAACACCCTACCTCTGCCATCTAATAGTACAGGGCAGGACATAATGCTAGTGGTGCTAGATAGGGTCTAATAAGGTGATAGCACTAAACATAAAGGGCACAGTTCTTTTCCCCTGCAAAATCCCATGAAAAATAAATAGGAGCTGTGCTGATTGGACACTGATGACAGACCTAGGGCATGATCACATGCACAATTAGCCCCGCCATAGGCGCGAATGCCGGGTGGATTTAAAGGACGTGATCAGACATGAACATCTGGGAAGCGCCCCGCACCCATTGGAAACCTGTTTTGCTCCGCTGCAGAAGCAGAATAAAAAGACACTGGGGAAAATCCAGTAGTAAACGGGTTGTGACGGGTCACGGATGGAGTTTCCCGCATCTCATTGCTCCAGCGTGCTCTCATGGCATCGGGATGGTCTGATCAGGCCATCCCGACTCTGTGCTGTTGTTTTTCCCCCCTTCTCAGTATGTGCATCATCACAAACTCCATAGGGAGACCTCAGTGTGGACATGTGATTTATCAATTCCTCGTGTAAGTGTATCGGAAACAAACAGCAAAAAACCCCACCCTGACTCACCCGTGGTTGCGTCTGATCACACAGTGGCAGGCTCTCACACAGAGAGCCAGTTTGGTGTAGTGGTTAAGTGTGCGGACTCTAATCTGGGAGAACCGGGTTTGATTCCCCACTCCTCCACTTGCACCTGCTGATGTGACCTTGGGTCAGTCACAAGCTCTGGCACAGCTGTCCTTGAAAAAGAGCAGTTTGTGTCAGAGTTCTCTCAGCCCCACCCACCTCACAGGGTGTCTGTTGTGGGGAGGGGAAGGGAAAGGAGTTTGTAAGCCGCTCTGAGACTCCAAGTGAAGGGCGGGGTATAAATCCAATCTCTTCTTCTTCTTTCCCTCATTTCGGTATGTGCATCATTGCACACTGCATAGGGAGCACTCGGTGCGGAGATGCAAATCATCAATTCCTCGTCGAAGCGCACCGGCAACGCGTGGGGGGAAAAACATGATTCACCCGTCGTTGCATCTGATCACACAGTGGCGGGCTGCCCCCGCAGCTCCCAGGGACTGTGTGATCGCACAAATGCGGGTCAAATCCCTACAGAGCAAATGCCTCGTTTCCCCCCCCCCGCTTTATCTCGCGTGTGTGACTGCCCCCCTACTTAACTTACTTCTGCTAAAGCCCATGTGCAACTTCCATTCTGTCACCCACCGAGCCCCTTACACTTTTAGGGCCTTATGTAGCCAGAGGTACAGGCAGGCACCATCTTGGATTAAAACCACAGAATCACGGTAGGAATTGAATGAAATCACATGCCATCTAATAAATAAATAAATCTCATGAGGAGAAAACAATTCTCTGTGAGAAACTTCATACCCTCTAATCAACAGCTTGGGACTCCATGGGATCTCTCCAAACCCATGCCAAACTGAATGGTTAGTGCCTATGGAACTATAACTTTACATTCCCTTCCCCTCAAGAGCATCCCTCAGAATAAAGACCTGCCTGGTAATCAAATCAAGTCCTTAATCAACAGGAAAACTTTATCTTCTGACCCATTAGCATCCCCTTTGAGGTTACTCAAATACCTTAAAAATCTGGTTCTCCCCACAGCAGCAAAGGCTGTGAATTTTAAATGTATAAGGACCCCCCTTCTAGCAGGCATTTTAGAGGCACTTTGCTTTTTGTTGTACTGTTCCTCCATCGCTGACACTTCAGAACTCTACCTCCCCATCTCCCAACTACACTATTTCAGATCAGGCAGTATATGGATATCCCCCCCCATTTCCTAAATCTGCCCTTCTCTCTCTCCCTCTCTCTCAGCCATCTTTCATTCCCCCATGCTCCTGTCTCCAGTTCTCTCTCTCTCATTCCCTTCCACTTGCTTGGCCCCTTGCTTCAACAATTCTCCTCTCAGCCAGCAACCTACTTCCCCTCCCTCTCTCCTTTTCAACCTGTGCTTCCAGCCACTTCTCTTCCCTCTCTTCTTAGCCTCACTTGGCTTAGCCTCAAAACCTCATTCTGTGCCTTTTTGCCTCTCTTCCTCTCATTTCTAGGGGTGGGCATTTAAAAAGTTATCATTTTAATTCCATATCAGAAAGTTGGGAAGGGCATGATTATCATTTTCATTATTATTGCGAGTATCATTATCATTCTAGAAAGCCATGTCAAGAAAAAAAATCCCTTTTAATAAGTTTCAAGACTACTCCCAATTTAATGAAAACTATAATCATACCCTTTCTGAATTTACAAAGAGGAATTAAAATAATTTTTGAAGTGCCGCCCTACAGGCAGCAAAAGCAGGGGGAGAGAGGGAGAGGGAGAGGGAGAGAGAGAGAGAGAGAGAGAGAGAGAGAGAGAGAGAGAGAGAGAGAGAGAGAGGCACAAAGAGAGAATCACAAATGGCAATGAATTGTTTCTGCTGGAGGCACTTCCAAGGCTACAGAGAGGCACCCCCTGCCGGTCTGTGGCACGTCAGCCCCTTTAAACATCCTTCAAACTTTAAAGGGCCATTATTTTCAATGGGTGGTAGACCTGGCCCCCGCAGTCTGGACACGCAACTGGAGACCACTCTGTCTCCCTCTTCCCTCACTGCTCCAGTTGTCTAATAGGAGGCAGCTCGTCTACTGCATACTGGCACCTTAAAACATTTTTTAAATATTAAAGGGCTGTCATTGGGATTCAGAGGCTGGGTCTACCATTCATTATCTTCAGATGCCCCAGTTTGGATGAGGTACACTGGCCCTTCAGACTTTAAAGGCCTATTATTTTTAGTTGCCTATCCAACACAATCCCTAAATCTGATCTCATTGGGCAGGGGTCATTTCCTGCAGGAGCGCACAGGAGCGGAGCTTCGGCAGTAAAAGGCCCAGGGGGTGGGCACATGCAACAAGCCCCACCCCCTGCTCCCAGCAGCCCTCAGTCA